TGTGTGTGTGTGTGTGTGTGTGTTGGGGGGCGGATCCTTTAGTGGGGAGTTCAGTCCCTCCTTCCTTCGGAGATCAACAGGGAGGCTGACACTTTCCTCAGCTCAGAGCTTTGAATTAAATGGAGGAGGGGTGGAGTTTGCAGCCTTGAAGCATCCAGCCCAGGCCATTAAAACCTTGATAGGCGATCAGTGCTCTAAGAGGCAACACTGCTGAGGGGCTAGAAGTTGGGACTGAGACTATCCTAGGTCCTGCTCCCCAATTTAACAATAGTGCCAATAAAAATGAGTTTTAGGGAGAATTTCCAGACTCCAGGGTAAACCCAGTATCAGCATGCTATTATTTAATCTTTCCCTAATCTGCTAAGTGGGGAATGTATTGTTCCCGTTTTACAGATGAGGAAATTGAAGTTCAGGGAGAGGAAATTATTTGCTCAAGCAGTGGACTCCGGCAGAGCTTCTCTGTGGAGATAATAGTCCTTCTCCAGTTGGGAAGATTAACTACCTAATGAATGTAAAGGGAGATAAAGGGGGTGTAGGAAGAAGTCAGGGAGGTAAGGCTTGGCTCCACAGTTCCGGTGAGTGGATTCTGAACTCAGGATGGCCATCGTTTGTGTCAGAAGGAAGCTGCTCCGCAGAGCTTTCCATGGCTCCTTTCCACCAGGAGATGGCCCCGCCTTTCTCCATGCACCCCTGGGTGCACTTGAACTTCCCGGCACATTGACTGTTGGCCTACCCAAGAATTGGGGTTGTTGTTAGGTGCCATCAAGCTGATTTCGAGAATTGGTAGTCTTGGGAGTGTGGCCGGGGAGGTGAAGGGGGCAATGTGAAGCTAATAATGATGAGTGCAAGGATGAAGAATATGTTCTAAAACTGATTGTTTCGATGATTGTACAATTCTTCTTGATGTGATTAAACTATTGAATTGTATACTATGTGAATTACTTGTCAATTAAACTGCTGGGGGCGAGAAATGGAATTGGTAGCAAACACTTGGTCTTCCACCCTGAGCCCCCTCCTAGCTCCCTCCAAATGAAGATACTGCTGATTAGAACAAGACCTTTGTGATGTTTAGGATGCCAACCCCTCCCTTGCCTGGCCAGGTGTGAAAGACTCTTTGGATGATGATTGTGGGAGATGCCTTCTTTGACTCCCCTCTCAGAGCACCTCATGTCATTCCCCAGTTGCTCCACCATGTGCACACAGTAGGTGTTTAATGTCCACCAGAGACTTTCCATGGCAGCTTCTTCATCACATCTGCTTCATGTTCCCTCTCAGGGCTACTGGGACTTTGTATTCTTCTTTCAAGCTCAGAAACTGGTCTCTTACCATGTACAGTGGGATTCAAGTACCTACCTTAAGACCCCGTAAGTCTGAATCTTAACCTTTAGGCCCCTGATTATTATCCCCTTTCAGAATGAGTTGCCTTTGTTATGGTAACGAGAGACAATTAGTGGAGAATGCATGTTAAGCCAACCTCTTTTTGTTTGTTTGTTTGCGTCCATCTCTTATAAGATGTAAGAGATTAAACAGATGCGCTAAGGAGAGGGGTACAGTGGATGTTAAGACCCACGGAGGAGCCATGGTGGCATGGTGGTTATCCATCAGGCTGCTAACTGCAAAAGAGGTACTGTCTTGGAAGCCCACTCAAGGCTGGTGACTTTAGTTTGGGTTTGGGAGACCCCTGAGGATCATTCTTCAAGGACTCAGGAAGTGGAAACTAGAGAGACAAGGACTTGCCTTCAGAGCTGACGGGAAGAAAGCCCTCTCCTGGAGCCAGCATCCGAATTCAGTCTTCCGGGCTCCTCAACTAAACTTGTATCGCCAAACTCAAGACACTCACTGCCGGTGGCGTCCATTCTGACTCCTAGGGAGAATGTTCGTGAAGGCACTGCTTGGCACAGCCCCAGCTGAAAAACCCAAATGCCGCTGACAGGAGAATGCATAGAGATGAGGGATATCTGTGCAAAGGAACACTAGCCGCAGTGGGTTGCACTGTGGGACGTGACTACTATTATGTTTCTGGGAGCTTTGCCACCAGCATTTCAAACACCAGCAGGGTCCCCCACAGTGAACAGGATTCAGCAGAGCTTCCAGACTAAGATGGATTAGGAAGAAAGGATGAATGATGTACTAATGATCTACTTCTGAAAAATCAGCCAGCAAATACTCTGAAGTAGGTCACAACAGAGTCGGGCATTCCAACGGTGCTAGGACCTGGAAGCGTTTCATTCTGTTCTGCTTGGTAGCACCACAAGTAGGAGCCAACTAGACAACAGCAAACGATAACAACAGAAAAGTGAGTGAAACAGCAATACAAATGGTCTTAATAATCAGTTGGGTAATAAAAGCAAGCGCCAGAAGGTGACCTGCAGGAGAATATTCCTTTTATTAAGTCCGAAACCAAATGGAATCACTGTTAGGTCTAGTGTTGAGTTGAGCCACAGAAAATTGCTGTTATTCAACCTGGCTTGATCCACGAAGTGGCAAGTTCATAGTCCTCAATACAGTGGTCTTATAATAATAATAATGATGCAGCCTTTAGTTCAGCCTAATTGATATGTAAAAAACAAAACCACCAACAGGGATGGAGAAAGAGTGAGGGAATATGGAACAAACATTCGGAATAGTGGGTACCTCGTAGGGGTGACGGGGATAAGGGAGGAGCCCACAGATAGATTTGATTTTTAGTAACATTCTGGTTCTTAGTTTAGGTGGGGGAGCCACAGGCTTTCATTTGATCATGATGGAGAACATAGAAATGGATGTTTTAACTCTCAGTAATTAAAGGTATCGTCACTTGCAAAGTTTCCAAGGTAAGCAAATGTGTGATGGAGAATAGTTTCATCTGTTCTCATTTCAGTTATTAAAAAAGTCAGGTATCATTTACATATAATAAAATTCACCCTATTCACCTAATCCATAATTTAAAAATATTCACTCTTTGGTGTCGGATTTTGTGGGTTTTGAAAAATGCAGACGGCTGCATAACTACCCCATGACAAAGACACGGAACTGTTTAATCACCCCAATTCTCCCAGACTCTTCTGTCGCCAATCCCGCCTCCACCTCAGCCCTTGGCAGTGACTGGTCTTGTTTCTGACTCCATCGTTTTGCTTGTTTCAGACATTGTTTCGTTTTTTTAATTGAAAATAAATTTACATATTTTTATTGGTTTTTCCTTGTTTTGTTTTAAAAGTGCAGTCGTACTCAAACATTCTAATTCTGGGGTATCTAAAATATTGTAGATTAATGATACAAAATACTTATACCTACAGTACATTTTCTAGAAGTAATTATAAAATGAAATGAATATGATGACTGAAGTAAAGCAATTACTTTCTTTACCTAGGAAGAGGGAAAAAAAGAATGGAGGGAGGAAGGCAGTGAAAAAGGAGGGAAGGAAGAAAACAAAGAAAGAGAGAGAAAAAGAAAAATCGATGGTACCCGAGCTTCTTCCTTCTGGGGTGTGAAGGGAGCATCCTCTGACGTCTCAACGCACCTTCCCCGGCTGTGGCTGTGTAGCCTGGGCAAGCCACTTGTCTTTTCTGTAAAATGTTGAGTTTGAAGATTTGTGAGATAGCCAAGAAATAACATGATGACATTTATGATTATATTTAGGAGCTTCAGGACCTGAAAAGATTATGATGCCTCCCTTAATATATGTAACTCAAAATAAAACATGCTGTAAGACACAAAAGTAATATGTATAATGCAATGAAAACTGGCTTCTCTGTTTCTTTATCGCAAAAGCCTGGCTAAGTTCATTACACATGATAGCTCACTGTCCTTCATTTGGTTGGGGGGGGGGGCAGGGGCGGCAGAGGTACTTACTGTCTTGTTA